TCAATTTATTTGCAATATTAGTTAGATGGAATTCTCAATTTTCTCTTCGATTCTACTTTCAACCTTCCTATATTTCTCCCACTGTTCGTTCAAATGGGTAGCTAAAAGACAGAAACCAAAACCGGCACACAAAAGTGCATGATTACTAGTTGTACAAACTGAAAACTGAAAGACTATACTTCGAAGCGGAACTCTCCGATCGCCTATCATTTCAGCTGCCAGTTGAAGGACTCAATGAAACCTGGAAGCAAATCAATTGCGCTGTGCAAATATCGATGAAAAGAACGTCGAACCCTGGCGCAGGCTCAAAACACAAACTACGGATCTCGTCAACCTCAGTGGCCCTGCTGGACCTCTGCAGAATCCTTCCTCCTAATGCCACATATGACCCAGCGCGCAAATCCCTCAAACACCAGCTCATCAAGAGCCTGGGGAATGATCGCGAGAAGTGGTTGGTTGAAAAGTGTTAAGAGGTGTGGGAAGCTGCGGCTATTGGTAATCGTCCCAATCTCTTCCGTCTCATTAGGAATACGGGCCCGAGGAAGATAGTCGTGAGGTAATTAAGGAATCCGATGGAACATTGATTCACCATCAGCCACGCCGGGCTGAACATTTCTGGGCTCTGTTCAACTGGCCCTCATCGAAAACTGATCTATCGTCCCCTCCCTCGCACCTCGACTGGAAAGATACTCCGAGTTGATGCCAGTCCTCCATCAGAAATGGTTTCTCGGGAAATCGATTATCTTAAGAGTCCTCCAGCCCAGATAGCCTATTTTCATCGGCATTTAAGGATGCCGGTTCAGCTTTAGTCTTCGAGTTGGTGAAACTCCTGGGCTCAATACGTGAGACAGAACAGGTTCCAACGGAATGGTGTGAATGGATTATCTCACCGATTTATAAGAAAGGTGCTGAGGCTTTCGGATTTTCTGGTATAATACCATAGACAGTTTATCATGAACTGTATAGACTGTTGTATATGTAACACATGTGTGTTTTATCCTCCTCTCGTTCAATGTATTGATTATTCAAACTGAAATTTGGTCATTTTCATAATGCGTTCGGTTCTTCACACGTTCGCTAAAATTAATGGTATTTCTTCGTTCAAATACACCATAGGAATGACTATATAATGTTGCAGTTGTGATTAAATTTTTTAAACTGCAATTTATTACTCTTGACCTTTGCGCTAAAATGCGAAACCTGGTGCGTATTTTCAGCTCCTCGTCTTGTATATGGAGGTGTGTGTTGCATACTGGCCGAACGGCTGTTATGATTAGAGGAGATCCGAATTTCGCTCATCCATCCGGATATTTGCCTGCTGTGCCATTCTCCAGTGTGCATCCCGATACCCAGAGTCCCATGTTTGAAATCGGTCGCAACGATGCGGCTCAGGCGAATCCGAAGCGACCAGTGGTCGGAAACAGTGAACGCCCCATGGCTTACATGAATTCGAAACCTGTGAGTAAACACGATCGTCGACAGCGGAATGGTGGCGTGATTCCAGTTACACCGGGATGCCCGGAATTCAAGCATCGTGATAAAGAACTGGAGGAGGCAAGTGGTTTTCTTTCTCTTGGTTCTATTTGAGCTCCGAAAATAAAACTGCACAATCAAAGTGAAATTTTCCGTCCATGTTTGTTAGATAGATTGATTACTTGACGAAATGCTCGGAATTTTTCATTCATGAGGAAAGTTCTTTTTTAATAATTAGATATATAGGATGACGTTTAATGCGATGAATGCCACTCAATGAATATTGTCGGATGAGTGATGTGGAAATTATAAAGGAGTCGGGTCAGTGGCTGGTGAACAGAGCGTGTTACATAACCTTGAACTGATTAAGAGTGAACAAAATTATAGTTCAGTAGCGTGACATTTACATTCGATAAAAGGGCCTGGCGATTTGCGCGCGACACTGTTGTGCAAGGACTGTAGAAATAGGCCATGCAGAAGCAATTTCGAAAAAGCTGAGAATCCGTAGCAATAACCGTAAAAGGGACAAAGTAACGGGCAATGAACTGCAAGTTGGAAGTGAGGATCACATCGTCGATAAGGCGAATGACTTCGTGTTCAATCTGTCAAGAAGGGATAGGGAAGAACATAGAGCTTAACTCCGCACGTGAGTGTAGTATTCAAGATCGGGTCATATTTGAGCTATGTAAAAAAGGAGAAGTAACTCTTCTGTTGTAGAATAGAATTTCACTCTAGGACGCGCAGCATCGGAGGTTAACCTTTCCGTGTAGGCTATCCGTGAGGAATCGAGAGATAGCCCAGGCAGATGGCATGTATTCTTTGAACTGATCGGCACTCGCTTAAAATAGATTGATACAACGACTGACGTTTGAAATAAACAGAAATTACAGAGACTTTAAAGGCAATGGAAAGCATACAGTTTTAGGCTCCCTAGGTCAATAAGAAATCAAGATCAGTGTTGGCCTACTCGCTGAAGAATGCAATCTCTTTCGATGTTGCCGTTGACAATACGAATAGATGGGTTAGATGAAGACCAGTGAATGATTGCGTTATCAGCTAAGGTAAAGATAAGGTTTGACATTGTGAGCCAAAGATTACTGACTGACAAAAAACAGTAAAAGAGATAGGGGAACTACAGAACCCTGTGAAATGCTGGCGCAATTGGGAGTGATTCATCCACTCGGGTGCCGTCACCGAGAAAACGGACAATCCGCGCGACATGCTCAGGTGGCAAATCGAGCTTCGGGGTTTTCTCTAGCAGTTCAGTTTGTTGCCAGTTGCATCCCAGGAACTTTTCCCTCCCGTTTCTGTGAGTCACCGTTAATAAGGTGAGCGTAAGCGCGTTGCCAACGCGATTGCGAGTGATCAACAATGGTACCTTAGAACGCGGTGAATTTTCACCCTGCTAGGCTCTCCATTACGAAATAGCCATGCTTGATAGACCAGACTGCCACTTGCCAATCACGATCCGGCACTTAATAAGGCCACGGCTCTTATTCTGTTTCATCCACATGGAAGAGGTGAATGGTTTGGCTGGAATAATCCTGCCATCAAGTGCAGTCTGCAGCATTTGGGTAGTCCAACAGTTATAAGGTACAACCTCACACCAAAAGCCCAGACGGGATACCGTTCCCTGATCGCTTAGGGTGAACTGAACAACTGAGTGGTAATCGAGCGCCCTGACGGTGCTGGGGACCCTATCCAATTAGCGTTTAAGGAACCTGTTGTTCTCTCCATTCACATCCTACCGATCCGATTGATCCTACTTTAGAAAAATAGCATGAAAAACGGTGGTAATGTCAGTAACGTTACCTACATCAATCACTGACCTTTCGTGTCCTTTGCTCCGTTATCGCCTAATTATACACATTACTTGGGCTCGGACTAATGCTAAGGATGCTTAAAGTATTCAACTCCTTTTTGGAGCATGAGTCGGCCTCGTGAACCAATCCATACATGAAGTAGCTTGAATAAACGTTACTTAATAGTATTCGCATAGCCATTCTTTTCTTTTTTGAGAATAGTCCTTCGGTTTCTTTAATTTCTGTCGGATGCATATAGAACAGAGTAATGACCGTGGCTTTCTTGGTTGCCAACCCGCTGCACATCACGGCGAGACAGCACCTGGACGTGGTGTGATGGCTTGTGCACAGCTCTGACCCAACGAGCTACATAGGATGGCTTTTGTCAAGCCGAGGGTCTAATCATGCCTGGAAGGTCGAAGGGTAGAGGTCGGACGATGTCCAGTCTCCTGGTCCTCCAGATTGGGGGTTCGACTAGAATTTGCGTTTCAGTCGGTGAAAAATGGTGGAGGAGTAATGGATCCAAGTAAATGGGCC